GGGAGCATAAGCTTTCGTGGGTAAGAACCTCACTTCTTCAGATGCAACCTCACTTCTTCTTGCATCTGAAGAAGTGAGGTTCTTACCCACGAAAGCTTATGCTCCCAATACTTCTGTTAGTCTTAAAGGTGCCACAGGACCCTCTGTTGCTTTTTACAGATTCAGACTAACACGGCTACCCCTCTGATACATGAACTAGAGCATTGTTCTACATAAACACCAACACAGTGTCTACAATACTTTTTCTTCTCCATGAGTGTCTCTGGGTATATACATTGCAGGTTACCACAAATATGTTTTTCTTCAAGACTGAATGACAAGAAATGTTTTAATTTATGCAGCTAAATTTTGTAGTACTTTTTTCATGGATCTTAGTCTTTTCCACACTGCTTTACCACAGAGAGGAAACATATGGCCCTTAATGACTTACCAGTTGATAACATAAGAATGGGTCCGACCATACTGGGTCCATCTTCTAGCCTATTATCTTGTCTCCCAAAAGTGGCCAATGCCAGATGCTTCAAAGGGAATGAACAGAACAGGACAATCATCAAGAGATCCATCCCCTGTTGTTCAGTCCCAGCCTCTGGCAGTCAGAGGCTAGGGACACCCAAGAGCATGGGATTGCATCCCTGACCATCTCGGCTAACAGCCACCGAGGGATCTAACCTCCATGAACTTATCTAATTTATTTTAACCTAGTTATAGACTTGGCCTTCACAGCATCCCCTGGCAATGTGTTCCACAGACTGACTGTGTGTTGTGTGAATTACTGCCTTTTGTTTGTTTTAAGCCTGCTGCCCATTAACCTCATCGGGTGACTCCTGGCTTTTGTGTTATGTGATGGGGTAAATAACACTTCCCTATTCTCTTTTCCCCCACACCATTCATGATTTTATACACCTCTATCATATCCCACCCCCGTCATCTCTTTTCCAAGCTGAACAGTCTCAATGTTCCATACCTCTAATAATTTTTATTGCCCTCGCTGTACCTTTTTCTATTTCTAATATACCTTTTCTGAAAAGGTATTACTTATTACTGAGTTTTCTATTTTTAAGGGTGAAATCAGGCAAAGAACCCAGACTAAACTTTACAATGGAACCAATATTTAAGCGTGGAACAGAATACTGTACAGTCAATATCTAATGAAACAGTGGACTGCTGACTCGTCAGTGACTAATGCTACTGAAAGTATCTTTTGAAACATATCGTCTTTATGGCTAGCAGCAGTGACACTCAGTTGTCTAAACATTTATCTGTGTTTATCCATTAAAATACCTTGATTCCATAGTATTGGGAATGAATTAATTCTCAATGGAGATTCCCACTGATGTGTCAATTCCAGATAAATTTCTCATTTAATACAAATTGAGGCCTCAATTCTGCAAGTGGCTCTGCAGAGTCCGGTTCTGTAGACACATCAGATTTAGTTGTTGCAACCATAAATCATCTCAGCGATGAAACAAGAAGTCTTCAAGAGAAGAAGGGCTATTCCAAAATGAAGAATTCATTCCATTTTTTTAAAAATGCTTACCAAAAATACAAATAAAAAAAGCAACTGCAACAGGCTTTTTATATGGAAGCATTAATTCCATCAACAGAATAAAATCCCATGGGATTATACTGACTGGCTCCTAGAAACAAACAGTACAAATAGTTTCAAAGAGTGAATGCGTCAGGTTAAAAAAAAAAAAAAAAGGTATGTCTTTGGAAAATAGGAACTGAACAAGCTGATTAGAACTGGCATACGCCACAGGGCTTAACAGTTACCCTTGCCTGGGCTCTTTTGAGAGGTCTTCTGAAACTATTATGGTTTGCCATTACTCTGCACATTAGTGGATACCAGCTGCAATAGCATAGTATACGAAGGCAGAGTATGACACAACATATGCCGATGAAGTAAATAAAAATGAGAGACATTTCTGCCTTTCCCCTTGACTTTCACTCTCTCTTTGGAGATGGATTTTTGAATTTTTATGGGTGTGGTATTATAGGAGGAAATATTTTTTTTTACATCCAATTGGTGAATGCTAACATAAATAAAATGAGATGTACATAAAAATATTTAAAATCTTGATTAAAAATTTAAAAGAAAGAAATATACTATAGGCACATTTCCAGGACTAAACAAGCATATTCACAATCATTTAAGGTACCATGAAATAGCCACTGAGACAAAATACAACATATGTTTTTGAATAGATGACTTTCCTCTCAGAGTTGCAATAAAAATGACTAGGAGGGAGGAGTATGTCCAGACTGCTTTGCAAAAAAGAAAAAATTCTCTTAATAAATTCTAAATGGAGAGCCATAAATCTTTTTCAAAGCTCCACTAGATGAAGTGACATAGTATGTGCACCTGCAAAAGCTGTCAAAGTCATTTAAGAAAACCTTCCATTACTGATGAACCCTGCTGTTTGGAGTTATTTAAGCTTTTAATTTCTGTCTTTTCTGCATTTTGAAGTGTGCACACTTTTTATACCATTTCATAAAAAAAGGGACAGACCTTTGTTTCCTTCCTGATCAGAGTTCTAATAAACAGACCTCTTAAATTCATTACCAGAAAAAAACAAGATCGTAACCCTCCTTTCTTGCTGCACCAAAACTTTATAAAGACTTAATAAACTGTTGTCATAATTTGCTTTATAAAGCAAGTAAAACTTCCTACAATTACTAAACTCATATGGCTCCTTCCAGTTGGTACTGTTTATATAATAAATTTAATAATAAAATCTTCATAAAATTTATATATATATATATATACACACACACACACACACACACACGTTTCATGCAGTCTACATTTTTCTTATTTTACTTATAAGAGTAAAGTGAAGGTTTCTCTGATAGATATCCTCACCTCTTCTGGCTCACACAAATTATTAACTATGTTATCTTTTCCTTCCTATCTGTGAAATATAGTGTAAATTCCACAAAGAAACAATTTAAGAAATGATCAGTTGGTGGCCTTCATAAGCCACTTCATTGAACCACCCCGTCAAGCTTAACTGGCCTGTACAGAAGCTATGGGAAAGAAGCAATTGTAGCCAGTGCGGGGATGAGTTCAGAGACCCATCTTCAACCCCCAGACGGCATCCTGGTGCCTGATGATGTCACTATAGCATGGGCCATTCACCTATCCTGGAGCCTCTATGGAGCACTGGAATTGGTGGGCTGGTGACATATCTGTGATGCTGTTGCTTCTTCCCTACTGTCAAGACATGTTTCCTTTCATCATTAATATATGTTATTTTAATAAGATTATGACTGCTTAGCCATAATTTTCACAACTCTGTCTTCTCTGGTCTTTGCTTTTTTGGAAAACCTCCATCTTTACAAGGTTTGCTGTCTAGAGGACTGAGGTGGATGCTGGCAACTGTGAATAAAGCGAAGGTTATAGCAGCAACTATAAATATGGACAGAACCAAATAAAATGAGGAAAGTTACAAAAGGAAAAAAAGTTCTCTTACATATGATAGTGGTTTCATAAACTTGCTATGATGGCCCCAAAATCTCAAATATGT